GCTGGTTGGCATGAGCCGCATACCTGCCATCCTTCTGGGACTAGCAACTGCCCAAGAGGTTTTCTTGTGGAAAAGGGTGAAGCCAACCTCACAACACATTTCATGGGCTTTCGTGGTGGCTCAGCTGGTAAAGAATCTGCCTGCAATGTGGGAGTCCTAGGTTCGATCCCTGGGTTGGGAAGATCTCCTGGAGAAGGAAACAGCTACTAGCTCGAGTATTCTGGCCTGGAGAATTCCATGGATGATATAGTCTATGGGGTCACAAAGAGTCGGACACAACCGAGCAGCTTGTACTTAAGAGACTTCCCTGGTAGCTCAGTTGGTAAAGAATCTGCCTGCAATGCAGGAGGCCCTGGTTTGATTCCTGGGTTGGGAAGATCTGCTGGAGAAGGGATAGGCTACCCACTCCAGTATTCTGGCCTGGAGAATTCCACAGACTGTATAGTCCATGGGGTTGCAAAGAGTCGGACACAACTGAGCGACTTTCACTTTCACAACACATTTCAAGCCCACTTTGATCATGTCCTTGAAAATCTCATCCATCAAAGCAAGTCTGTGTCACTGGTCTTGTGAGCAGAAGGACATGCTGGCAGACAGAGGACAGGATGTCAGGGGTGAATTGCTGGAACCCAGAGTTGGTCACAGTATCTCAGCCTCACCTTTGGACTCAGGAAAGCGGGTGGTACTCTCAGACTCCCATTGTGACAAAAGCTGTTTAATGGAGCCCAGCATCCCCCATATTTCCAAACATATGTCCTATGTTCAGAGGACATCCTTTCTAACCTGGGTAAGCAGCTTTCTGCAGAACACACAGAGCCAAAGTAAAACAGTATAATAATATAAATAGAGTGTGATTTCTAACAAGCCAGGTCAGTTTCATCAGTATCCCACTGTCTCCAGATGGGAGAAACCACTCGCCCTCCCTCGTTTGCAGTCCCTCATGCCTGAAATGGGAGTTAGACCACGTTGACCTGTGAGGGATGTGAGGACTGAAAGAGATGATAGGTGAGCACTCCCTGGCAATGGGAGAGGCCCTGGGGCACATCTTTGATCATCGTGAGAGATGAGGTGCTTGTACATCTGAACTAAGAGTTGTAGGATTGGATGGGCCCCAGGAATTTGCCAGAAAGAAAGCCCGGGGCTGAGGTTGTTTCTAAGCTTGGTTTCTGATCATTCTGTCCTGCCAACATTCCAACACATATGCCACAATTGTGGCAGGTTCTTTACAGGGTGTGTGACACTCCATAAATATTTCAGACTTAGAAATGTGCATAGGGCCCCTCATTACTGAACCTTCCCGTCTCAGCAGAGAGCATGGGTGTCACTGACTTGTTATGTGGATTTGACCATCTCTCTATAGGAACCTCCAGAGCCCAGCTGAAGCTACCAGATATCTCTGTGGTGATCAGGTAGAATGATAGCAAACTCAGGGAGCTACTGCGGGACAGGGAAGCCTGGTGTGCTGAAGTTAATGGGGTTGCAAAGAGTCGGACATGACTTAGCGACTAAACAAGGATAAGAATGATAGAGCGAAGTGAGAGAACTAGGAGCAGCTGTGGAGACAGTGGGAGGGCAGACCTGTCCAGAGGTGACATTTGGACACTGACCCACAAAATAAGGAAGGAAGCAGAGAACCTTTGGGGGACCAGACCTCCAGGATGGGGAACAGAAAGGGCAAAGGCTCAGAGTCTGGACTGTAGGACGAGCCACAGCACAAGAAGGAGGGGTGACGTGGGCAGGTCTGGTGGGCCAGGGGAAGGCCAGCATCATTCCGAGAGGACCTGGAAACAGAGAAACCAAGAAGCATTGTGATCTGACTTTCCTTGAAAATCAGGCTCAAATCACTTAGAAGGGAAGATATTTCCAGAGATGCACCTGCAGGTGGGGAATTACTCAGTAAAGAGGTGCTTCAAGGGGTCAGGTGAGAGGGGACCTGTTCCTGGTTGTCACACAAACTGAGGACAACTCCAAGCAACTGTTGAAAGCTTCTGGCTGAAGAGGACACCCTCCTGGGAAGATGAGCCTGGTGAGGGGTGCTGCTGAGTGCCATCCACACAGGTGCTGATCTGGGTACCACTGAACCATCTTTTAGGCTTCTCCCACTTCCCTTTAGGATCATCCCTGAGTAGCTGCTGCCAGGCAGCCCTCAGCTGCTTCACCTTCAGAATGTACACCAAATTGGCTTTCAGCCAAACAGCCTGCTCTGTTGACTTTTTGTCCAATCACCAGCCAATATCATGGAAACAATTCCTGGGATGGAGATGAAATATTTAAAAACAGGGAATGGGAAAAAAAAGCAGAGTTTATTAAAAGGGCTCCATCATTCCAAATTGACACCTTCAGGAACTCCTCTGTCATTCATCCTTATAGATATAAAATTATCATCTGAAGAGAGAATGTTAATAAAACTGACATTTCGCCATCAGTCAACTTAATTCACAATATAACATTTTCTAGATCCAATTATGTTTGCCTGATGACTGACACCCAGTGAACATTGTTGTTCACGTGGAAAAGTGCATTAAAAAGGCCTGGAGATAATTTATCACGCAGAGCACTGCCTTTTCCGATGGGAAGAATGTTAATACTGCCTTTTCTGATGGGAAGAATGTTAATGTGAAGACGAGCAGGGGATCTCCTCTCAGACGGAGGCAGGCTCGCTCACTCTGGGAGCTCACAAGAGTCCAGGTTGTGACAGCTCAGAGGCAAGGGCGGCAATCATGAGAACTCCACCTGAGACAGGACACCCTGGCCTTGCGCCAGATTAGAGAGCAACCTTCCTCCCCTCCCACCTGACCCCAACTTTACAGTGCACCAGTGCTAACCTCCAAGCCCACCTCCTATGACTCAGCTTCAAGGGAGCACACTGGGTTTGCAGAGGGATGAGCAAAATGCATCGGGGGGCAGGGAATTCCAAGGATGTAAAGGAGTGGAGTGTTGTTTTCCTGGGGCAACCATAACAAAGTACCAAGGACTGGGTGGCTTAAACAATAGAAATTTGCTGTGTCTCAGTTCTGAAAGCTGAGAGTCTGAGATGGAGATGAGATTGAGTCTGAGATCAAGCTGTCGGCAGGGCTGGTTCTTTGCAGAAACTCAGAGGGAGAAACTGGTCCATGCCTCTCTCCCCACTGCTGGTGGTTTGCTGGAATCTGAAACATTCCTTGGCTTGTGAATGCATCACCCCATCCGAGTCCATCTTCACATATCTGTCTCCCTGTGTGCATGTCTCTATTCAAACCACCCATTTTATAAGGTGTTAAAAAATTGTTTCAATACCTGTTAAAATGCTGAGGAAGACATTATTCAAGACTATTGCAACAGGAGAGAGAGATTGAGCTCAGCCCACAATACAGCAAAAACAGCAAGGGATTTATAGCCAGTGGGGAGAGCGAGGGGGTCAGTGAGTAGAAAATGAATAAGGGGGGAAATCAAGGGTAGGGATTCTGGTGAAACTGACTCAGCAAACTCTTGTCACAGCCGAGTCAGGCAAGCCAAGGACAGGATGGGGAGTGAGGTGGAGGCCTAGTCAAAAAGGGGTCAGAGGATCCTGAGTAAGCTGTGTGGTCTGAGGACACCAGGCATATTGGACCAGGCCCTCTTCAATGACCCTATCTTAACTTGATGACCTGCCAAGGCCCTACTCCCAAATGAGAAAAAATGTTCACAGGTACTCAGGGTTAGGGTTTCAGCATCTTCAATAGGAGAGGGGAGGAGGAAGCACCATTCAACCCATAACAGAAGTCATTCTTCATCCCTGACCTTAAAAATTCCACTGAGGAGGGTTGTCATAGCCCAGTTTCTCAAGATGCAGAGCTTGAGACAAGGGTTGGTGACTTGGGAGGATTCGAGTGGATGGGTGATGCTGTCAGGAGGAATCTGAAATGGGGAAGGAAGTGATATGGGATGGGAAGTGCTGAGCAGGAACAGAGTCTCAGGCTGAGCATGGCCTTGCACTGAACTGGGGGTCCTTCCTGTCCCTGTATGAGGCAGTCCTGGAAAGGACGTAACCCGCCCTGTCATGAAACGATCTGTGGCTGAGGCTCATTCTCCTGGGGACGGAGTGGCTGCGAAACCCCAGGAGCCATAAAACAGCTGGGAGCTGGTCCCTGTTGGCAAGAGGGACCATGCAGGGTGCCAGGGGACCAGACATGACAGAACAGGAGGACCACACAGGACAACAAGGGGGACCAGCGAGGACAGCAGGAGGAGGTATGCCTAGAGGCTCATGCCCCCGCCAGCCTCACCACCAGCTGGGAGCTGCCAGACTTCCTGCCATATCCAACCTGCCTGAGCCGCTTGGAACAAATTGCCAAGAACTAATGCCCTTTAATGAAATCAAGTGACAGTGACAAAAGCCCTAATTTTGTGTCTTTTCTAGTCTCCAGCTGCAGCAGCAATGCCCTGAAGAGGTTTCTGTTGACCGAGTGCAATTTATCAGACCAGCCAAAGGAGCAGGAAGTGGCAGCCCTAACTCAGGTTTCTGCCCCCTCAAAATATTTTTCTGTTTCCGATGTTCCATTGGGATGTCATCACTGTCAGCTCAGGGGTGGTGACCAAGCTTGTTCCAAATTGCTTTAAATTGAAGGAAAGAAATAACCTTTTTCCCCCTTCTGAGATTAGGGAGGAAAACTTTGTTTCAAAGGGAATTTTTTTTTAAACATTCAAAGGTTCCTATTGGAAATGAAGAGACCCTTCTCATTGAGTACTTAAAAAAAATAAACTTGTAGTTTAATATGTGAGGGAGGATGGGGGACAGGTGAAATGTTAATTTCCTGAAAAAATATTTTTTTAAATGTGTCCCCAAACAATGAGGCAGGATGGCCCTAAATCTTTGGAGGATGAAATTTTTGGCCAAGTTAAAAAATTCTTCACATATTTGCACTGCTTGGTTTCCATGGGAACCCAAAGAGGTACTCCATAATGCCTTGAGAACTTCTATTTTTATATTAACCCTTCAGATCACAAACAAAGGAAAACTAGAGGGGAGGGGAGGGTGGAGAGGGGATAGTGTACAGATTCTTGAATCTCATTTCAAGACCAAGGAAGTATGGTTTCACTGGAGAAGAAGTACGTCAACACTTACCTGAGAGCAGAAAGCACGTTGTGTATGCCAACCGTCTAGATTCAGGGATGTGGTGTGGAAAAAGAGCATAAATAAAACTCATTCAGCCTGCTTACATTTGTACGTGACTGGGGGCTTGGATCCACCAAGATGTGTTTTCAGTCTGGAATCTGCTAGCCCTGGGCTGAGGGATTTGATCCTGGAAGCAGTGAGAAGTGTGGGTAAGTGGTTATTACCCTGGGTCTACCCCCTGGCTCATTCGATGCCCCTGGGTCTGAGTTCATAGCAGCCCTGAATACCCTGGGAAGAGCCTCAAGGCCATTGGAACGTGGAAGAGAAATTGCCTTTTAGGAGATAATGTGAACCTCAGTCTACATCGGCCCCTGACCTATTTCACAGACTCCCAGGACATTTAAATCTAATCTCCTTTCCTGTGCGAGAAGAAAAAGGCAGAACTTAGAGAAGAGAGACCTTACCAACAGTGGGAGTATGATATGGCTTCACAGACATTTCTAAACCTTCTGAATGCTGGTGGAAAAAAAAAAGACACAACAACAAAAACAGCAATGGGAGTGAGTAAATATGAGTGGGTTTTTTTCAGGTCACATTTCTCCTCAAAATAAACCTATTTTAAAAATAATATGTGAATCAAACAGCACAGGAAGCTGATGAAGCTAAATGTGAGCACCTGTTTTTCCTACACAAGAAACAAAAATAAACTCACTGTAATGAAAATCAAGTGCAAAAATGATTGCCTAATTAATTGAATGCCTAACTGATGAGCTGTGCTCTGTAAATGTCTCTGGTGTCTTTTCAATTGATTGACAGTTCAGAGAGAGACGACAAGGCATTTTGGCCTCCAAAGATGTTGGTCCAGAGGTCCACCCTAATGGAACAGCCTCTCAGCTCACCTGCCCAACACCCTGCGTTTCTCTCATCCTTGGGGGAGGAAGTACAAGAATGAGGCCAACAGGTGGTCTCAGGGTGATTTTCCAACAATTACTAAATTGCTGAGACCACGGAAGACACGCGTAATGCCCCTGTTCTGTTTGGCATTCAGCACAGTTGTAATTTTACCCATATTTTATTAGCATTGTCTCCTCAGCCAGACTGTAGGCTCCATGAGTGCAGGAACTGAACATGTCTGGGTTTTCCCCATCATTTTATATTTAGCACCTATTCAGAGCCTGGACACAGTAAGAACTCAATATGTATGTATGAGTTGAATACAATAAATGTTTAAGAAGAGAATAATAATATCTGGTTAATTTCCTACTGCTTTGCTGTTCAGCCTCTCAGCCATGTCCAACTTTTTGTGACCCCATGAACTGCAGCATCCCAGGTTTCCCTGTCCTTCACCATCTCCTGGAGTTTGCTCAAATTCATGTCCATTGAGTTGGTGATGCCATCCAACTGTCTCATCTTCTGTTGTCCCCTTCTTGTGCTACTTTCAGTCTTTCCCAGCATCAGAGGCTTTTCCAATGTGAAAATTATGCAAGGTAGTGGTGTAAAACAACAGATTTACTCTGTCACTGTTCTAGAATTCAGAAATATGAAATGTATCTCAGTGGACAGAAACCAAGGTGTGGGCAGGATTACACTCCTTTCTGGAGGCTCCAGGGAGAGTCCATTGTCTTTTTCATCTTCTAGAAGCTTTCTTCATTACTTGGCCCCATCCTCCATCTTCAAATCCAGAAACATCAGGTCAAGCCTATCTCACACTGTTTTCTCTCTGACTTTCTCTCCTACCTCCCTTGCCCACTTTTAAGGACCCTTGTGATAATGTGGGCCACCTAGGTCATCTAGGGCATTCTCCCCACCACAGGGTCAGCTCATGAACAGGCATAATTCCATCTGCAACTTTCATTCTCCTTTCCCATGGAAGGTGGCGTGGTCACAGGGACCGGGAACTAGGACGTGGTTGTGTTTGGAAGGGACCATTATGCTACCTACCACAAATACCATCAAACAAACAGAGGCTTCGGGAAGAAAGCAGGAGGAGACTACAGAAGTCCCCTACATATGAACCTTTGAGTTGTGAACTTTCAAAGATTTACGCATTCAAGGAGCCAGAACCTGAGCCGTCAGCGTCAGGCATGAGTGAAACTTCAGCCTGCCCTCCAATTCCTCTTGCTGACAACCCTTCAGCCCTACCATCTCCCACCTCCTCTCCTCCTCCAGTGAGTAACTCTTGCCTCTTCACTCGATGCCAGCCCCTGGATGCCAGTTGTTGTACTGTACTCCTATACTTTTCAAGGTACTGTACAATAAGATTAAAAATGTTTTCTTTGCTTTTTTGTGTTTGCTTGCTTTTTACATATTATTTGTGTGAAAAGTATTATAAACCTATTACAGTACAGCACTATATAGCTGGTTGTGTTATTTGGTTACCTAGGCTAACTTTGCAAGACTTAAGAACGAATTGGACCTACCAACACACTGTTAGAATGGAACTTGTTTGTATGCCAGGGACTTACAGTATATCGGTGGTGTTTTGTTCATATTTTGTGTTGTCCCACAGGGCCAAGCAGAGGGAATATATTGTAGATGTTTCATTAGGAAATGTTTGTGGAATAGATTCATATCCTACACCCTCCTGTCAGGAAATGACCACCTGTTCTGTGCTCCTAATAGCACAGAGAATCATTGGACTCACAAGAATGCACAGATCAGAACAGCACTTCTATAATTAAATCTGGACTCCTTGGTGATAGTAACCAACACACAGCAATCATAACGAGCCAACATTCAGAGAGCACTTTTAAATCCACAAGGTCTTTCACAAACCTTATCCCACTGCATCTTTATCCACACCCTGTGGATGGCAATGATTAGTTTCATTTTACAGAAGGGGAAATTGAGTAACTTGGTGAAGATCTTTTGAACTGTGGTGTTGGAGAACTCTTGACAGTCCCTTGGACTGCAAGGAGGGCCAGCCAGTCAATCCTAAAGGAAATCAGTCCAGAATATTCACTGGAAAGACTGATGCTGAAGCTGAAACTCCAATACTTTGACCCCCTGATGCGAAGAACTGACTCATTGGAAAAGACCCCAATGCTGGGAAAGATTGAAGGCGGGAGAAGAGGACGAGAGAGGATGAGATCGTTGGATGGCATCACTGACTCGAAGGACGTCAGTTTGTGTAAGCTCCAGGAGTGGGTGATGGACAGGGAGGCCTGGCATGCTGCAGTCCATGGGGTCACAAAGAGTGGGACACAGCTGAGTGACTGAACTGAACTGAACTGATCAGGGTCACAGGGCAAGGCCATCCCATTTTACCACATTGCCTCCTGGAACAAAAAGGAGATAAAATAGCCAGTCTTTGTGGTTCAGGCCAAAAATGCTGAAAGTAAGATTAATGATGTCCAGACATAGAGAAAAGTCCACAGTGAGGGGCAGAAGCATAAAGACCATAGTGGTGCTGGAGCATGAAGACCATAGTGGGGCAAAAGTACAAAGACTGTGGTGGGGCAGAAGCATTAAGGGAGGGAGCAACTTTGATTGGCTACAGACAAGGACCCCAGGTATCTTCATTCTTAGAACTTAATGTGGTCAGCACTCTGATCCCAAACTGCCATTTCTAAATTATTCTCCACCACTTCCTCCAGACATGACATGCTCCATTTCACTCTCCATCTACTAGTATTGTCCAACCCCTGAGACCTGGTTCTTCTACTTTGGAAGTCCAATATGAACTGGACTTTTTTTTTTTTTTCTGAATTTCCAGTACCCACATCATGATTGATATGTGATAAAACCACATCAGTAACTGTAGAGTATCCTAAACACCATTTTCCTGATTTATTCCTTTTGGGTCTGATCATGTCCAAGAGAAGGAGAGTAAGAGGGGAGAAGGAGGAAAGAGGAGGCAGGGGAAGAAAGGGTGATGTTCTTCTCAAGGTCCTTGTGATCTGCGGTTGGCCCTTCCTGTGGCCAGAATCTTTCAGAATCTTTCTTCAACTCCTTGTTTTCTCTGTTCTCCAGCTTCTCCTTCCTCACACTTTTCTGAAAGAATATTCATAAGGCACAGCAGGGTACAAAACCCCAAGAAATGAATTGACCTGCCCACAGTTAACTTTAGTAAGGAGCTGGTGATGGACAGGGAGGCCTGGCGTGCTGCAATTCATGGGGTCGCAAAGAGTTGTACATAACTGAGTGACTGAACTGAACTGAAGGTGGGGAATTTCCAATTATCCAGGCTTCCTGTCCCTTCCAGCAACAGAGCCCCACCGTCACTAACCAAGGAGGTAATAATGCAGGTTCTGAGGGCAGATATGGATGGAGTGCAGGACTCGACCCAGGCATCAAATATTCAAATGCCTTGACTGTGATGAGCAATGAAGAAACTGGAGATGGATGTCCACCCTTGAGAAATAATTTGGTTTGGGGAAAAAAATGTTCCTAGCAACCTATGGAGTGAGTAGAGACAATTAATGATTTATTCACCAGTGTGTAATTGTGACCTAAACTGCATACATCAGGATGATGGGATAGGCGGAATGAATGGGGTTAGCATAACTCTCAAGTTATCTCTAAACAAAGCCAAACAGCAAAGACTTCCACTGATGTGTGAATTTATGCATTCAGACATGTTAACTGGCACACCATGCCTTGATGGTGGGCTCAGGGATAACCCAGGAAACAATAAGGATAGGATTCTTATCTGCGTAGAATGCAGGGAAACAAAAAATTGTCATGAACCTTGTGAATAGAAAGAACAAGAAGGACCAGGAAAGAAAAGGACAGGGTGAACCTACAATGAGGACCACCCCCCCACTCACAGTCACCTCCCTGCCCTTTTGTATTTCTTTCCTAGCAATTATCATGATCTGAAATCATTTCCTTTGTTGAATTCTTTCTTATTTTTTAAGCAATGCTACATTTTTTTTTCATCTTCTCATGGAAAATTTCAAACATATACCTAAGCAGACAGAACAATCTAATGAATCCCCATGTACCCACATCCCTGCTCCCTCCATGATCAATTCATGACTCTCTTATTTCATCTACACCCACTGGTCTTCCGCCTACTGCCTTGTTTGAAGCAAATCCAAGTTCTCATCTCTGTAAATATTTCCATATGTATTTCTAAAAGATAGAGAATTGTTTTTAAAGTGTATTTCCATGATGCTGTTATCCCAACTTTAAAAATCAACAATAACTTCTTTAAAATATCAAATACCATGTCAACTTGAAATTTCCAATTTTCTTCATACTATGGTCCACACATTGCAAGTGATTATGCCTTAAGTCTGTTAACCCACAAGATACCCCTCTGATATTTTCTCTTTCCCTTCCTCTTAATATATTTATTGAAAAAAACAGTTCATTTGTTCCCCCAGAATTTCTCTGGTCTGGGTTTTGTGGATGGAAACTTCATGTGTTCATCTGATTTCTGCGTTTCCTGTGCTGGATTATTGCTTGAGCATCCCCACCTTCCTCTTCAGAGTGTAAATGAAATGAGGGCAGATGGTTTCCCCCTCCTTGTTCTCTACTGTATCCCTACTTCCAACACAGTAAAAAGTTTTTATCTGTGCTTAAAATGATTTGCTAAATGGACAAGAGTGTGAATGATGAGATAGGTCTTTACACTCAACAGAGGCCATACATACACAAGAATAAGAACATTTAGAGACATGCGGACAGTGATGCCTGTTGGTGGCTGTCGTTGTTTGGTCAGACTTCAGCTAGTCTTTTTTATTCAACACCATCTCTTCAGTGCAGTCTACGGTTGTCTAATTTTTTGTGCCATTTTTATGGAACCAGGTTTGTGCTACGTTAAAAATGAGATCAATCAACTGAATTTTTTGGAGAAGAGTTTACTGCTCATTGCTCCAGCACAAATCGTGTACAGCACGCTATAGTCTTCACAGTCCCCTCTGTGTGCAGAATAGATGTTCCGTCGTGGCTGAGCAGATTCAGCGGATGCTTGATGACACTGTTGCTGTATCTTTCTCCCATTTCCTTTTTAAATCATGGGGAAAGTGTACTGAAACATAACATCTCTTATTGCTTGTACCCCAGTGGCACTGCAGGGGGTGTTTACCAAGGGGCTTGGAACACAAATATTTTCAGAGATTTTCATGCAGTTGAGGACCCAGTCTATTTTGGACTTGAGTAGATGGCACAATTGATCTGTAAACTTCTTACTTCCACAATTACTCCTAATACTCTGGGTTTTCAGGATGTCATCACTCTTTCCCTGCAGGTTGTATTACTATCAACGATCCCTTTTGGCAATGTGTTGGCTGTTAGCTGTGAGAGGTTACTCCAATTCTCCAATTCCAAATGCAATGTCAGTGGCCTTGCTGAGCTCCAGGATCTCAGAAAGGAGATGCAGGCAGACTTGGGGCAGGAGCCAGAAATGTCAAATAGGCTGCATTTCAATGTGGATCTGCAGAGGAAATGTACACACTCACACACATGCCAGCATGTGCATGCACAGGTGGAGCTGCGTTATGACCATGGCTAACATCAGCTCCAACTTCTTCTGTTTATTGTGTCAGCAGCAGTTACTAAGTGGAATTGGAGATGGGACTGTGCCTGTCTTCCCACATCAGTGGACCTGCATCTGCCATAACTTCATTTAACATCCCATTAGGAGAGGTGGCACCACCAGCCCATCCAAGAACAGCCTCATTATCTCCTGCTACAGAGATTGCCTCACACATGGGCTGAACCAGGGCCAGGTTTGCATCAGGCTGTTCCATTGGCTCTGCGCCCCCTTCTCCTGCAGCCTCCTCTCCAAAACACCAGATGAGGAGCCGCTGGTGGCCTTCAGCTGAGAAATGGCCTGCACTTTGGCTCCTTCCAGCACTGAGGGGTTCCCTTTCTGTTCCCTCAAAGGAGGGGAGGGGCTCATAGCCCCCTAAAATACATGAGATTGGAGAAACAGACCCTCTGCTGCATTGATTTCCTGGATGAGCCCCCCACTGAGCCAGGCAGGGGCTGAAGTTCCAGACATCTTCCATCTCGATTAGAACTTGAACAGCTTTCTCTGCTCCAACACAGCAAAGGTCTATTAAATATATATAGTTTTGGTACTTATTGATGCTCAAAAAGAAAATAAAGTTCTCTGTGGACCTGAAACAGAAATGTGGTGAGGAGGGGACTGAAATTGTGGGCACGCTGGGCTCTAGTTTTTTGTTTTTGTTTTTTTTCTTTTTTAAAATCTAGAAATAAAGGGGCAGTAGTAATGAGACAGCAGTCTTCAATGAGAATTGAATTAGAATACTAATGTTAACAGCTGTCTGTCACCCTGCACAACTCTCCATTTCTAAATGGTTACTATGTT